TATATATATATATATATATATATTCCACATTTTATCTATTCATATGTTGATGAACATATGGGCTGTTTCCAAGATTTTGCTACTCTAGACTGTGCTTCTGCAAACATGGGTATGCATTTATCATTGTGGTACAATGACTATAACCTTTTTGGGAAGATACCTAGAAGGGAATAGGTGGGTCAAATGGAATCTCTAGCTTTAGTTTTTTTGAGGAATCTCCATACCTTTTCCACAGTGGTTGTACCAATTTACATTCCCACCAAAACAACAGCAGTTCCTTTTAACCCACAGTATGGCCAGCATTTGTTATTGGTCGATTCCACAATGATAGCTATTGTTTCTGGAGTGAGATGGAATCTCAGTGTTGTATTAATCAGCATTTCTCTAACGGCCAGTGATGCTGACATTTCTTCATGTGTTTGTTAGTCATTTATACTTCTTGTGAGAAGTGTCTACTCATTTCCATTGCTTATTTTTTGATTGGGTCTTTTATTTTTTGGGGGGGTCTAGTTTTTTGAGTTATGTATCCTAGATATTATGCCTCTAGATGCCTCCTGCTTTGTTCTTGTTAACCCAGATTACTTTTGTCATTCTGGGTCTCTTCTGATTCCATGTGAATTTTAGAATTATTTTCTTTAGTACTGTGAAAAATACTTTTGGTGTTTTGATTGGGATCGTGCTAAATTTGTACATGAATTTTGCAAGTATGGTCATTTTTGACTACACTGATTCTGACTATTCAGGCAGTTCCATTCTCTGATGTCCTTTTTATTTCCTTTTTATAGCGAGCTGTAGTTTTTGTGGTAGAGATTATTCACTTTTTTAGTTAGGTTAATTTTTAAGCATTTAATTTTTATTGTGCTATTGTGAATGGTATTTTTTCCCTGAATTGTTTCTCAGTGGGCTCATTAGTGTATAGAAATGCTATTGATTTTTATTTGTTGATTTTTGTATCCTGCTACATTACTAAATTTGGTTATTAATTCTTAAGAATTTTGGTGGATATTTTTGGGTCTCTATAGAGTATCATGTCATCTGCAAATAATGATGATTTGATTTTTTGTGTCATATATATATATATATATATTTTCTTTTTATTGTTTAACTGTTTACTCTGTTTTTATGGTGTGAGCATTCAGGTTATAAACTTCCCTTTTAGGACACTTTCCTTGTGTCCCATAAGTTCTGATATGTTGTAGTGGCATTGTTTACTTCTAAAAATTTTCTTACCTCTTTTTTGATTTATTTTATAACTTATTGTTTATTTTTATTTTTTTTCTTTGGTTCCAGGGATTGAACTCAGGACCTTGCACTTTCAAGGTAGGCATGGTGCCACTGAGCTAAATCACCAGCCCCTGTAACTTATTATTTAGGAGTGCATTGTTTAGTTTCCATGTATTTGTATAATTTCTGTGTTTTCTTTTGTGATCAATTTCTAGTTTCATTGCACTATGATCTGATAATATGCATGGTATAATTTCATTTCTTTTACATTTACTTTAGATTGCTTTATTGACTAGTATGGAGTCTATTTTGGAGAAAGTTCCATGTGCTCTTGAGAAGAATGTGTACTGTTATTGTTGGATGGAATACTCTACAATGTTCAAAGGTTTTATTCAACTCTGATATTTCTTTGATTTTTTTGTCTAGTCGATCTGTCTACTTATGATAGTGGGGTATTGAGACCCTGACTGTAACTGTGTTTATTTTCCCCCTATTATTAGGATCACAACAAAATAATTAATATAATAATGTTTTTTTGAACAATTCCAAAAGTTTTACACCATAAAGGCTGATAATCTCATGACATTCAACATATTGAAGCTATCTTCAGCCTAAGAAAGGTAAATTTAGGATAGTAAAACTTGAAATATAAAACAAAATTCTATTTTTATTAGTTTTTCTCCAAAAAATATGAATATGTTGCAACTTTATCTGTTATGTTTTGGATGTGGATAGTGTGTATTTCTCAAGGGCTGGACTCTTAGTCCTTAGCATGATAATATTGAGAGGTGTTCTGGACCTTTAAGAAATAGGTCTACTGGTCATTAGGGGCCCTGCTCTTGGAAACAATTAAGCCAGTTCTCACAGAAGGTGCTGTTGTTAGAGTGCACCTGACTAGCTAGATATGGTGGAGCACACCTGCATCCCAGAACCTATGGGATTGAAATGAAAAGATCATAAGCTAAAGCCCAGTTTGGGAAACAGGGATTTAATGAGAACTGTCTCAAAATTAAACAACAACAACACCACCAACACCAACACCACACTGGGGATTTAGCTTAGTGCAAAGATCCTGGGTTCCTGATCCCTGAGTTACTTTTTGGTTTCCTATCATGAAATGTGATCTCTCCCTCTCACATGCCTATGCCACTGTGATGCCATTTGCCATGAAGCCTTCATGGGATCCTGGACCAAAGGGGTGACCCAATCTTAGATCTTCAGTCCCTAAACCATGAGCTAAGTAAACCTGTTTTCCTTAGAAAGTTAGCCTGACTTAGGTATTTTGTTATAGTAACAGAAAACATTCAAATACATTATCTACATAGATATATTTCATGTCAGCACTTTTATAAACATAAGTAATCAAGTGATAACCATTTATTTGGTCTAAGTACAAACTTTTATTGGTTTTTCTCCTCCAAGATTTATTTAGGTCTAATTGACCATTTACAATCATCTATATTTATGATGTTCATGTTATTCTGAGGTATATATTCATTATAAAATGACTAAATCAAGTTAATATATATATCCATCACTTCACATGATTCTTTTTTGTGATGAAAACATTTAAGATCTATTCTCTCTGTAGTTTTCAAGTATACAATACATTAGTAACTATTTTCATTATACTGTTCATTAGGTCTCTGGAACTTCTGCATCCTGCTTAACTGAAACTTTGCACTTTTTGACTAATATCTCCATCAGTCATTTGGTTACTACAAATTTAAAACTTTCTCAGATGGTTAAATAATGTTTCCTGCACTTGGACTTGCACAAAATGCCAAGAGTAGGAGGAATTTACCCATAAAGGAACCTTAGCCTGGATAGTGTGAATATTTGGATTCCTCTTCAAAGCTCTCTGGCAATTACCCAGGCACACTTATCAGCATAAACAGTGTTTACCCTTTCCTAATTTCTTTCTTTATTTTCTGAAAAAATC